GTTGTCCCTAGGGTAGTTTGTTTCATCAGGTTTGACCTTGAGGCTTAATAATGTATCTTTTATGTCCCTAAGTTCTAATTTTAAGTTGTCTAATTCGTCAGTTTCATACGTTACCGATTTTGGTTTAGGTTTTATTAAGGTAACGCGTTCAGCTGAGGTTTGGTATTTTCTCTGATTTTTATTCCTAATAGCTCTTTGAGATTCAATTTTTAGCAGATTTTCGTTTAGCTGTTTAAGTGAGTTGTTTTCCATTCTCACTAGGTCATTACAAATTTCCGGTTTTATTCCCTGAATTACGAATTTTATTATTTTTGCATCATTCATATTGGGATCTATTCTGTGGGAAAGGTGAATGATTTCGTATAGGAATTGCATTGGAGATTCATTTTCTCCTTGTGTTCGATTTTCAAGGACCGTCTGTAAGTCATCAATTAATGCAACTGGGCTGAATGCTTTAATAAATTCAGACTCTAGGTTTGCCCAACTAGTTTCATTGTTTTCATGTTTGTAGAGTGCAAACCATTTATACGGGGTAGACGTTAAGTGTGTGGGGAAAAGTTCAATTTTAGTTTTTTCGGACCAATGGTTGCACCTTGATGCAATATTGAATTTTTGAATAAATTCATGTACATCTTCTGAAGGAAGACCTGAGTATGTGCCTGCTTTTATTAGGGGAAGTTTCTCTTTTGACTCATCAGCCATGTTTTTGTTGGTTATATAATATGATTTAGGGTGAGATGCTATTTGTGTTGATGTGTTAGGGGTTCCTAGTTGGTTGTGATTTTGATGGGTTTCTTGATTTAAGTTTAACGAATTAAAGCTATGTAACAATTGTTCGTGTTCTATTATTGACCTGTTTTCATAAAGGTTTTGTGAATGTTCAGGTTTAGGTTGTGTTAGGTCGTCAGAAGTGTTTATAGTATCATATGTTGGTTCTTGAAGTATTTTCTTGAATTTTAGCAAATCTCTAAACTGTTCTTTTGTTTTGTCTTCTAGTTTGTTGTTAAAGAACAAGTCTGTTAATGCCTCAGAAAAACTTGGATGTCTAAATGCAGTCTTGAAAACATCTTTGGTGAAAGCTAATTTTGTTCTTAGGTTGGCTAGGGTTTCGGTTTCAGGGATGGGTGGGAGTTGTATTTTATATTGACAAGCTAGTTGTAAAGCCTCAGTTTTGTTTAAGCTATATATGTCAATGTTAACAATTTCAAAATCTAAATCCATAAATTATCTTTTAAGTTTTAGTAATGTGACAAACCTACATAAACTATTGTTACATTTGGTGGTTTTATTAAGGTTATGGGCCTAGCTAAGATACGTGTTTTTATTTGAGTTAGTGGCCTATATTGTTTTGTTCATAATCTTTAACTAACACCCTATACATTTTACGATACGTGAGTCTGATATTAACTTAAGTGACTATAATTGACTATAAATAAACTAAAATAATTCACAAGTCATATAATTTGTTTCAAAATAATTTATTAAAATAAATGTAGGATCGTTACTGTTTAGTTAAAATGCAAAGACAGCCTTCGCCGTGCGGCTGCCTCCACCATGCGAGTCCCATGCCTCACTTTAAGTTTAAGTTTCCTAAATGTTACACTCGCTTAGCTTAGTCAAGAGGTGTTAGGTTAATGAGACATAAGACTGCTTAAGGGTGTTACTCAACGTGTAATGAACAAAAATTTAAATTTAGAAAAACAACAAAAGTAACAAAGTGTACAACAGCAAAAGAAAACTTAGAAAAGGCAAATATCAACAATAATAAGATAAATTAAATTACAACGTTAAATTTACAAGAAAAGAAAATCAATTGAAAATATAAAAGAATTAGTTACTGACAAATTATATGACTTTTATGTTTGACAAAGTTTTAGTTAGATATTTTATTCTTTCTACATACTGTCTATTGTCCCAGAAGCACACACACCGATACACGCACTCGCAAACTCCCGATCTTCTTTCTCCGGTGGCCCGTGGTGATCTCCTCGATGTTTTCCTTCAGATCCTCCAGCTCCAAGAGTCGTCACCCCTCCATCTTCTTCATTAGCCCTTCTCATTGGCTGATTACCGATAGGGTGTGTGGCTTATAGGTTAACGGTGTTTCTTGGAAGTCAGCCCTACCGGTCATCGCCTAGCTCACATCAGCTGGGAAAGGAATTTGTAAATCGATGCTCATGCTACTGTTCAACTCTGTTCACACCAACTGGTCGACTAAGTGTAATGTGAACAGAGTGTCTGCATAGATGAGCACCGTGGGTACGGGGTTAATCCCCTTTCTTACAGCAATACATAGACTCTGTGAAGGTGGGTCTCATCCATTATAGTCTTTAGTCTACACACATCACCATACACAGAGACTCTGTTAAGAAGAGTCTCATCCATACAATCTCTAGTCTTTAGTCACACACATCTTCATATACAGAGGCTCTGTTAAGAAGAGTCTCATCCATACAATCTCTAGTCTTTAGTCACACACATCTTCATATACAGAGGCTCTGTTAAGAAGAGTCTCATCCATACAATCTCTAGTCTTTAGTCACACACATCTTCATATACAGAGTCTCTGTGAAGGGGAGTGTTATCCTTACAATCTATAGTCTTTAGTCTACACACCTCACCATACACAGAGGCTCTGTGAAGGGGAGTCTCATCCTTACAATCTCTAGTCTTTATTCTACACACCTCACCATACACAGAGACTCTGTGAAGGGGAGTGTCATCCTTACAATCTATAGTCTTTAGTCTACACACCTCACCATACACAGAGGCTCTGTGAAGGGGAGTGTCACCCTCTAGTCTTTAGTCAAACACATCTTCATATACAGAGGCTCTGTTAAGAAGAGTCTCATCCATACAATCTCTAGTCTTTAGTCATACACATCTTCATATACAGAGGCTCTGTTAAGAAGAGTCTCATCCATACAATCTCTAGTCTTTAGTCACACACATCTTCATATACAGAGTCTCTGTGAAGGGGAGTGTTATCCTTACAATCTCTAGTCTTTAGTCTACACACCTCACCATACACAGAGGCTCTGTGAAGGGGAGTGTCACCCTTACAATCTCTAGTCTTTAGTCACACACATCTTCATATACAGAGTCTCTGTGAAGGGGAGTGTTATCCTTACAATCTATAGTCTTTAGTCTACACACCTCACCATACACAGAGGCTCTGTGAAGGGGAGTGTCACCCTTACAATCTCTAGTCTTTAGTCACACACATCTTCATATACAGAGTCTCTGTGAAGGGGAGTGTTATCCTTACAATCTATAGTCTTTAGTCTACACACCTCACCATACACAGAGGCTCTGTGAAGGGGAGTGTTATCCTTACAATCTCTAGTCTTTAGTCTACACACCTCACCATACACAGAGTCTCTGTGAAGGGGAGTGTTATCCTTACAATCTCTAGTCTTTAGTCTACACACCTCACCATACACAGAGTCTCTGTGAAGGGGAGTGTTATCCTTACAATCTCTAGTCTTTAGTCTACACACCTCACCATACACAGAGTCTCTGTGAAGGGGAGTGTTATCCTTACAATCTCTAGTCTTTAGTCTACACACCTCACCATACACAGAGTCTCTGTGAAGGGGAGTGTTATCCTTACAATCTCTAGTCTTTATTCTACACACATCACCATACACAGAGTCTCTGTGAAGGGGAGTGTTATCCTTACAATCTCTAGTCTTTAGTCTACACACATCACCATATACAGATGATCTGTGAAGGGGAGTGTCACCCTTACAATCTCTAGTCTTTAGTCTACACACCTCACCATACACAGAGTCTCTGTGAAGGGGAGTGTTATCCTTACAATCTCTAGTCTTTAGTCTACACACCTCACCATACACAGAGTCTCTGTGAAGGGGAGTGTTATCCTTACAATCTCTAGTCTTTAGTCTACACACCTCACCATACACAGAGTCTCTGTGAAGGGGAGTGTTATCCTTACAATCTCTAGTCTTTAGTCTACACACCTCACCATACACAGAGTCTCTGTGAAGGGGAGTGTTATCCTTACAATCTCTAGTCTTTAGTCTACACACCTCACCATACACAGAGTCTCTGTGAAGGGGAGTGTTATCCTTACAATCTCTAGTCTTTATTCTACACACATCACCATATACAGATGATCTGTGAAACAGATTCTAATCCTTACAATCTCTAATCTTTAGTGAACACACCTCTTCATATACTGGGAGTCATGTGTAAACTATATGTTCATGTACATAGAGTCTGTGATGGGTAGTCTAATTCTTACAATCTATAGTCTTTCATTTACACACCTCACCATACACAGAGACTCTGTAAAGGGGATTCTCATCCTTACAATCTCTAGTCTTTAGTTTACACGACTCTTCATATACATAGAGTCAGTAAATGGGAGTCTCATCTTTAAGTCCTTCAGTTTACACACCTTTTCATGTACAGATAATTCTGTGAAGGAGAGTATGATACTTACATCATTTAGTCCATGCATTCCTTTACATATCATTCACTCGTCCTACTTTCTACTAGGCTTTATTAATATTCTGCGTTCTTTCTTGACCTGTCCAAATATATAACCATCCAAAATATCGTAGGCCGTAGGCCCTACTACATGCACGCTATTCCAACCGTTTGTATTTTAGTTAAATTAGCTTTATTTTGATTTCCGAGAATTTAACTAAACCTAACGAACGTTAATAACAATAAATGCAATTTTATATTCTTTACAAGTATGGATTTTGATCGTTAAGATTATTTATTGCAATTCTTTTTTATCAAGTTCGTGCTATCTTTATAGTGACTTAATTGGTTAATTTTAATAATAATATTTATATTTAATTTAACAATTAATGTATCAAGTGAATGACATATATTGTTATAGTTTCATCTATAATAACTTTTATTCAATTTTTAATACCTTCGGTATAGTCACTTTATTTTGAGTTATTTTATTATAGGTACATGTGCTTTTTTAGACATTTAATAGAATGAGCATTTATTTTCAGAGCGATGTTGGAGACAAAACCACTTGGCCTGTGAGTTAAATACTTACAGTATAAATTAATATAAAATAAATTCAGTAGAATTTTCTCTCTTTCTGTTCATATGTAAATCTCACTCTACCTATATCTACTAGGCTTATTGATACATAACAAACTCCTTTTAAATTATATTGCAATACGAAAAGACGGCCATTCATTACATTTAACAAATCGTATAAAAAATCTTTTATTTGTTTTACGAACAATTGCAAATTAGTTTGATAAATATTTATTCATTCTTATTCATTCAGTACTTGCGCCATATTTATTTTGGCTAGACTGGTAAGTTGTAATATTAACTTAACTAATCACTCATGAAACTCATCAAGTGAACACTAGCAAAAAAATGTGTACCAAACTAATGCGATCTGACATTTTTTATCCACGGTTAAGGATTTCATTCGAATTTAGATTTTTGAACAACAAAAATTAAGTTTATTTTACTTCACACTACAGTAAAACCGAATATGTTTTTAATAAATGCGTTGAGGGTATAAAAAACAGTGTTTTTTTTTCCTTTGGCAAAAGAGAACCAGCTGAAGTAGAGCATATTGGATGCACAGCATTCTTACTTGTAAACGTGGATTGTTGTTGCTACTCGTATTTTCACCGACCATTTTTGTTTGTTTAACAAAAGATTGTGGCCCAATCATCGAAGTATATAACACAACTGGAATGCTAGGTGTGTGTTCACGAAAGCGCGCCGTTGTGGCAGCCTTCCCACACCACCATGGGGGACCCAGCGGATTTTAGCCAATTCATCGAATAGTGCGCGAAGTTGTTTACTCGCTCCTAGCCTTCAATAACAAAGATTAAGCACAATAATGTTTATATATTCGTAATCTGCATTAAATGCAGAATCTAATGGTGTAAATAAATTTTACTTTTGATTTAAAATATAATTTCCATAGTTAAAAAGAGTTAACAATTTTTTCATTGTGACATGAAAAAGTTTGTATGCGAGGAAGTATTTTATTTTTGGGCCAAAAGAAAACTGTAAGCGACAAAGTTGTAGTTTAAGAGATGATTTTTAACATGTGATCGAGCAATTTACAATTAAGTTTGTAGTTTGTTTGTAGTATAGTGATTAATAGCGCGACGAGGTTGATTTTATGTCGCACCAACCTCCTCAGTCCAACAACTCTTTATGTTTTTGCTACTCGATCATTGTAAAGCTAAATAAATTTTAACCTTTTTTAATAGTTGATACAAGTTAAAGAATACAACTAACTATTCTATGGATATGATCATATATTTCATTTATTTGCAGATAAATATCAATACCGGTGCCGGGCTGCCGCCCAAACCGTTTATTTCTCCAATGCTAGGGACATTATGAATGAATGTAACAAAAATAAGTTAGGTGTAAGGCAGAGATTGAAGATATTGGTTTTGTTTCACAACATTTAATGAAACTTTTGTACTATATTTAAGCACGATTGGGGGCAGTAAAACATATTCTTAAAAGTACTGTTTAGTATTATTAACCAAACCCTTTTCTCTTATTTGCGATGATATGAATTTTAAAACATATACAGAATAACAATGACACTCAAAACACTTTTTTACTACTTTTTACTTTACTTTTTATCGTGCCTTTGGAACATTATACTCATATTGTCAAAGGAACACGACTAACAATTTGATTTTGTAAATTTATTATTAATTTTTTGTTATTGCCTGTACGTTAAATACTTCCTAGGTTTAGTATTTATTACCTTTGTTCTGAGCCTTAATATTTGAAATGTATCATTAATTACCAAACAAAGCAGATAATACACGATTCATTGTTACATTTAAACAAAAGGGGATTACCAGTCCCTGTCCCTGTATATATAGTCTACATTTTTTTATTTTAATTTACGGTAACATTGTATGTAAATAGTTTACCTAGAAGGTGATAATTCAGTATTTAGTTAGGTGTTATCTGTAATAAAAATGTATTTAATACAACTATTGGTTGTACTCAAAACGTTTCTGGGAGTACCTAAACGTAAAGATTAGCTGAACCAGGGAGAACGGCCCGCGGCGCGATTTATAAATAACCTCTTTGCGTTACTAATTACTCCATTACACACGGCTAGAAAATTTTATTTAAAATTGCTTGGTTATATGCTGAAGATCATCTCATTAGCTACAATTTTGTCGCTTGAAGTTTTCTTCTGACCAAAAAAATAAAAAAATCCTCGCTAGTAACTTTTTCATGTCAAGGTGTGATATTTGTTTAACATTTTTAGTTGTTAAAAATCGAGTTACGATTTAAATAAGATTATTTTTATACTGTCAGATTCTGCAGTTAATGCAGATTCCTAATATATAACCTTAATTGCAGTCAACCTTTTGTATGCACGGTCAGGAGCGTATTAACAACCACGTGCACGGCTTGAGGAACTGACATATCCTGCGTTGGGTCCCCCATAGTGGTGGAGGAAGGTTGCTGAAACGGCGCGCTTTTTATCCCACATCTCCTATCTACCCGGTGTTCCAGTTGTGTTATATACTTCGATGGGCCTAACAGACTAACAAAATGTGACCAAAATTTCCGCTTCGCCCTTTGCTCACTGTCCCTGCACGGTATCTTAAAGATTTTATATTTTTCAATTTTGATTAGTAAATGAATTGAAAACTCTGATAAGAAACTAGTCCAAACAACATTGCACTTTATTTTAATGTACATATTCTTAACAATTGTGCTTTGTCCAATACTTTTATTCATCAATTCTTTTACCTAGTTGGATGTCTAGAATAATTAGTTTTATATCATACTTTCATAAAAGTTTTCAAACAATACTTGGAGTTTTAAAGCCAAAAAGAGCGAAGTAAACGAATTAGTCAATATTTCTACCTCACGACCAATAGCATTCATTAAACAAGTATGTAAATAATTTATAGGGATTTAGACGAAAAGTTGAGTAAGTCATCATCCACTTTTAACATTGCGTACCACTTGTGGTGATGGACCTGATAAGTTGATTGACGTATTCTTTTGTATGTTTATTTTTTTCAAATTAAAATATATTTATTCGTTATATTACATATGCATGGCGTCTTATTAATTTTATAATGTTTATTTTCAGCTTGAAACGGGTGTTTTGAAATCGGATGTGAGTATTAGATAACTCATTGGTTGTAAAAACTGGAGACATCTCTTTTTGGACAGAAATGTATGTGGGTTTATCATTAAATAACATAGGGAACCATTCGAATAATTATTGAGTTCTAATTGTATTGACATATACACGGTACCAGCCAGCTTTGTTATGCAAAGCATAGGCACTTTGTTTTCAAAGTATACTAGCGGTGCACTAAACTATTGTCCATTAGGTTAATAGCAATTACAGGATATTGTGTTAAAAATTAAAAATAGTTTATATAATTTTAAATTGATAGTGTATATTTGTCATGGAAACAAGTAATTTTGGCATAATTATTACACTTAAGGAAAAATGTATTTTTGTAGCTATATTTTAGCATTTGTACTTCAGTAGTATAGTATTTGTAGTATAGTATTGTATATATTTGCACTTGGGACGAGAGGGTCCGACTTCATACACACCTATTCAAAAACTGGCGTCATCTGGAACCGAGAATCGCCAACGTAGTCATCTCCATCATCCAATTCTTGTTCATTAGACTCAATATTGGCTCTTGATGTGAGAGTGCGGTGTATATATTCTTCATCTTTCTCATTCATCAGAACTGGCATTTCATTTAAACAGTTCCCTTAGCAATTATAGCAAAACGGGGAACAATTAATGGACATTTTCTTGCATGTACATCTTGCTCTGCTACAATCTTTAGTACATTTGCAAAAAGCTTGGTTAGACATTAACTTTACCTGGTTTACTATAATTTCCGTGTCTGTTCAAATGAATAACTACTGACTTCTTCAATCTGTAGTATCTTTATTGTTCTGCCATCTAGGTGCTGTTTTCGGAATAATTGCTATATTCGTCAAAAACAACAATGCATTGCCTCCCAGGATAATGGGTTTTCACGTACCTCACATATCCATCACATATCGCAGACACTAAACACCCCCTTTGCTAGACAACCTTATTCATGACAAATCCCCCCATCGATAACCAAATTATAAGTCGTTAAAACTGTTGGTTGGTTCCAAAGGACTTTAACAGTGCAGCCTTGTTGGTCTGTTTGATACCACCCTCATTAAATAAAGCAGAGAAAATGGAGCAAGTTCAAATCGTTAATAATTCTTTAAGTTTTGATAACTTTTTTCACTTATACAAATCCTTTGAATCAGAATTAAAGATTTTCATCATTGATACTGATGGTTGAACTCTGAGAGGGCAAAGGGAGAGCCCTATTTTTCCGTGACAGTTTGATCTCTGAAAATTATTACCATTTTTTTATTAATTGCTTGCTGACCACGTAATACAGCATTGTAACAGTTAACGGATTCATCTCCTACAACCCCAGAGGCTACTGACATGATGTCTTGAGTTTCAGGGAAGAGTGGGTGGTTTTCAAACACAGTTATCAGTTTAGAAATATCTGACATTTCTTAATTGTATCATTTCATCAAGTACAACCTTGGTTGGAAAACCAACTACCCTCATAAATGTGGGATTGGAAGCGCAAGAGAGGTAATCTTGTCCCAGTTTTAACCAATGAACCACGTGCCTCACGATAAATTCTGGACTTGATTCTTTGCAAATGTACTAAATATTGTAGCAATGCAAGATGTATATGCAAGAAAATGTCCATTCTGATCAATGATGAAGATGAAGAATATATACACCGCACTATCACATCAATAGCCGATAGTGAGTCTAATGGACAAGAAGTGGATGTGTGAGATGCCCTCGATGATGATTCTCGGTTCCAGATGACACCAGTTTTTTAGACAGAAGTCGGACCCTCTCGTCCCAAGTGAACCAGACCATGAACAATAGTATTAAGTCTGTGTTTTGGTAATTTTTATAAATACAACTGAATATATACAGCTACAAAAATAATTTTTTTCTTAAGTGTAAAAATTATGCTAAAATTACTTCAATTCATGACAAATATACACAATAAATTTAAATTTATATAAACTTTTTTTATTTTTTACAAAATATATACGATTGCAATACTATACTATATAGGATAGTGCTCTAAAACCTGTGTTCTATCCTGATTAATGCAAAACAACAACAGGCTAATGGATGATAATATGAACTTATTCAACGAAAAACGCGTGAAAAATCAATTTATAAAAGAAAGTATATATTAATTTGAGAACATCTGTGAAACTAATGCATATACAGAAGAAATGAATATAACCTTTATTGTAGAGAATTTTTTCGTCTTTATTTTTATTATTTACATCTTTTCCGTACGCTGCACAGTTTTCAATGTAGAAGTACAAAAGTAAAAAATGGTGTCTTTCCCCCCTTCCCTCCACTGAAGCATCAAGGCTAGCGGTGGGGACTTTTAGTATTTTTATCTTCTAGCTACCCCAAAACAAACAACTCATTCTACACATTCAAACACATTCCCACAAACAAATTACCACCCCTCCATTCTTCTACACCACTCTTTTAAGCATTCATTCACTGGACTATATAGTTTATAAGTATATCAGTAACGTACGAAATTTAAGAAACCCGTATGAATACAATAACTATTCCTCTTTTCACTAAGCAGGATCACAACTTTTTATTGTTCTCACAATATTTTGAGATCCTCCTAGAATACCAATTTGTTGCCCAGGCCCCTTGAATGAAACTCAATTTTGATAAGCTAATGTAAAGGTCCTCTTCAACACATTTCTGCCCAGCCTCTGATGCTAGTGACTAGATATCTGGCCTCAAAACTGATTTGTGAAGTTTGATGCGTGGACTCAAAATTGTTACTGTTAACTCTGCACTGCATGTCTCGTGCCAGGTGTAGCAGGAATATTTTCTTAATATCCAGCACATCAAGATTAATATACCGGTCAACTGTCATATGATCTTTCAAGATTCTCAAGGTCGCAAGAAGATGCAAGGTTTGATTTGATTTGTTTTCACGCCCAAGTGCCTTTCGGTCATGGCGTGTGCTCTGTTGTTTCGACCTTGTTTAGTCTCTTCAGTCGTAGATAGGTCCGAAGACCACTACAAGACAACAGTAATGTGGTCATCATGCTTGTGACATCTAAATTGATGATCGTAACATTCACTGTGTGATACGAGTGTTCGACTCGCTTTTACAAACTCTGCGACAGTGGGAAAAATTAGGAATCCACAATTTCTAGAGTGCACAACTTTCGAAATTCAGAGAGACTAAGAACATATTTATAATACCTCGATTTTATTTCAAATGACTTTGATTAGTCATATCTAAATTGAGAAATTTCTACCATAGACTGCTGGAATTGGGTTCCATATTCCAGGAACCAATCAGCAAGCGATGACAGATTTCAGTCATCCCAAGGGCACTGGACGTGAAAACAAATAACATCAAACTAAATTACTATTCCGTCCACAATAATTCAAAATCTCATGAAGATACAAGGGTTGTGTTTCGAATGTTTCCACTCATTTCGAGGCACTAGAAAGTCCCGGAGCCCTCGGAAACTTATTCGTAGTATTTTTATTACTACTTTGTTACTTAGATTCTATGAAATAAAGGTTTGAAGCCCAGGTCTCTTCAGCCAGGTTAAAATCCAGTTAAACGCCCTCCTAGACACATGTCTGCGCAGTCTCTGGTGCTAGGTGAAAGGTATCTAGCACTCAAAATTAATATGCGTAGTTTCTGATGTCAGTGGAATATAATGATTGATTAATAGCCATTCCTGGGCTTCTAAAAGTGTGTACATGTGTTTACCGTTTTGCTGAATGTTTACCGTTACCTCTGCATGTCTGCGTGTAAGAATTCCTCCTACACATGGCTCAGGTGAATTATTTCCACCACCGTGAATTACTTTCATGTTCAGTTATTTCCAGCGGGGCCCGCCAAAATCAGGTATTTGAGTTATTTCCTCCAGTTGATTGAAGAGAATGCACCGGCCAAATGTAATGTAATCCTTCAAGACTCTAGTTGAAGCGACCCTTGAATGTAAGGACTGAGATCTAGTGTTGAACTCCCTGACCGTTCCCTTCATTTTGGGGTGCTAGAAAGTCGGCCAAGTCCAGGATGTAGTTCCTTCCGGAACATGTGAGGGATATTTCCCACATAAAAGTACAAGGTTTAAATTCCTGTGCCATGATCCCGTTACCTGTGGTTTTACGCATGCTATCTGCAAGGTGTTTAACCTTCAGAATTCAAGGATGGTCACATTGGGGTCGAAATACACTTAAATTCTATATATTTAGTATAGGATTCAAAAGAATATTTGTCCCATTTTATTATCATGATTTTTATCAAGACATTGGAATGTTTTACGTTTTGAAAGGGAACGGTCCTGTACTTGTTACTATGTAACCGACCTTTTTGTTACATAGCTTTATTAGTTCATAGCCCAATGACATAATTTGGGTCTGGAAACGAATTTGCTAGTGAGCCGTGTCAGTCGGCTCAGTTTGAGAGAGGAGAGTATTTTTTATAGTACATATTGCGGCAGAAGCACTGTACGCCGACGCTCGCCAAAGGCTGTGGGCGAGTCCACTTTGTCTTTACTCCCCTTCTTCTCCGATTTGCTTGGAGACGCACTCTCTCCTTGAAATCTTCCTCCGACATTGACGTATTTTGTTACTGGTACTATGGAGACTCAAGAAAGAAGTTTTTCTAAGTTAATATTGTTCGACTTCCTTATTATGTGAGATTAAAACGTTTTTGACACCAAGCCAGGGCTCCTGTACTGGACCGACATCAGCGGACACATCATGCCTCCTGACCTAGTTCGGAGCAAGACGACGGAGTCGCCCCCGGACTTAACTAGGCCTAACCTCAACCAACTCGCAGCGGAAGGACTTCACCCGGAAACATTCTACGAGAACTTTGGTCTACATCATCTCTACAAACCAGGTGATATCTACTCCATGTTATTATTACTCCATCCAACGTTGGCTATCAGCCTACCTTCAAGAACAGTTATTTTACATCAAGTTTTTTTCCAAATTAAAGTTTTACCGTTTCTACCTTTTAAATTCTGTAGCCTAGAAAACTTGAACTTAGTGTTTCCCTAACTAGGCCTACTTCTTATTTCTGGACTAAACTACAGACTATAAATCCCCTAGTGTTTTACTGATTCAAATTAAATGATTTTATTTCTCTATCGCTGCGAGTTGAGTTGTGGAACTGGAACAAACTAAAAGTTTAAAAGGATACTGTATATTACGGGTCTACGAGTGTTTCAATGTTACAAGAATTCATGTATTTTGTAGGGTGTCACATTTCCTTGTTTAACTTAATTATTTTGTGTAGGTACCATGTTATGTTAGTAAAAGGCTAAATATTTCTGTTCTAACGGGGAAACTTTCGGCCCAATTGTTCTAAATTCAATTTCGGTTAACGCCAGTACTAAATTTCTTCCCCACAACTTTTGTCATTAAAAAAAATCTATTCCTTACTGTTTAAATTCAATTCTATTCTGATGTATATTTGTGTATAACTTAATAGTCTTATGTTGCTATTTAAATATTTTCATGTCCATGTTGGGTATAATTTTGAGCTGTAAAGTTTTGTTCGATCGTACTTTCTTAAAGGTTACCTTTGTTATTGATAATTTGATAAAATACTAATTTAATCGATTTCATGGTAGGCCATTTCACAATTCAATGTTTGTTTCATGTCATATTTTCAATTTCTTGCCTTTTAAGATTCATATTTTTAAATTTTTCATCATCGTAAAACCTTTTATTCCGAGTGGGCCTAACCTAACTTATACTCAGGAATTTATTTTAAGTCACCAACTTGGTCCTTAACCTTGAACTTTAATTTTGGTTAAGTTTATATACATAAATGTTTTGTTAAAGGTATTAGGCCTAACACTGGTATCGATTTACATTTCTAAGCCTTGTACCAAATTGTATATATATTTTTGCTGTTGTTTAAGGGCGCATATTTGTTAATATTTAAATTGAGTTGGTAATAAAGGATGTTAATCATATTTTAGTTGTATTTTTTTGAACACCTGCAGATCTCTCATGAGCACAGATATTTTGGTAAAAGTTCCACGTACCCATTTTGGGGTCTGGGTACTCAGTCATGTTTCACTAGGAATCCAATCAGTGACCTGCAACCATTCGGTGACTCAAACATTTTATACCTCTATGGGTTTCCCTTGACGATATGTTGTACTGGTGGACGGGATTTTTGCTAATGTTAGTACAGAATTGAATGTACTGCACAGCCCAGACCCAAGACTTAACTTATATAGGCATACGTCAGTTCTTTCTTCTGTAAGGCCCCTACAGTAGAAAGAAGTTACCAAGTCTGACACACTAAAGATGAACCAGAAGTTTGTGTAAAATTTGTATTTATAGTGCAGACTCATTTGTAATGAAATAAAGATTCGTTTTATTCCAGGCTAATACTTAATATATTTTGAAAGAATAAATAGTAATACAAAAATTAGGTTGTAATTTGTTCTAATCCAAGATAGCGTCTAAAATGGCAGTTTTTTTCGAATAAATCATTATTCATCTCGGTTGATTTCGCTTGACATTCGCTGTCATTAGTAAGTGGTGTATAGTTAGCTATATAGTATGGGTAGCTATACAGTTTTCCCTTTAACATAGATTTTGTTTCCTGTTTGAAGAAGTGTCTTCATCACTTATACAACCATAGATGTTTAACCTATGGTAAAAGATTTTGCCAACCTGGCATCTAAAAACCCTCACCTAAAAAGGATATATCTTTCCATACATGTCTTAAACTTAAAATGGTAACCAACCATACACCCCTTACCTAGTTAAGTATTAATTACGGTATCGTATTGTCAGTGGAGGTAGATGATGAACCAACAACTGTTGGAATATTAAGGAATATTTTTTTTACTTTGGGTAAAATAAACAGTAAAAAAAAACATTATTTGGACCCCTTATTATTGTATGCGGTAGAACCAGGTATGACTGAACTTAGGTAATGTAAGGTCTCATAGCTAATTATCTAGCTTTATGAAGATACATTGTTCGAGAATAACAGACCCTGTTATAGAAAGGGGTATGTATAATCCACGCTAATAAATTGACGGGTAATCAAACTGTCTTGTGAAATGATAAGACTTCTCAGTGACTATGAATGTGTCCCAGCTTAAATTGCAATTAAGTAATAATTTTACAAGTGTGTTTCAGTCGGATTTTATAGCAAGGCATAAAATACACAAGGACAAAGTACTTGCGATTTACTTTGGCACCGATAAGGAAACTGAGGATTCGATCCGACGACAAAAGGTAAATAACCTGCATGGTTTGCAATATGTTAGGATTTATTGTTATTCAAATTGAATTTTAGATGTCCGTTCTAACTACGTACCTTGTGGCTTTAAATATTTGTAAACTTTCAGCAAGTCAACTACTACGCGCTTATTCATGTTTAATATAATATCACTAAAAACGAAGTTAACATAGAATTGTCACATGTTAAACATAGTTCAACAAATCACGATTGAATATGGTAACAGATTTTATTCTTAAATTATTTCGAGGGTTTTAAAATTATATTTAAACATTCCGCATTCTTTTTTATCAATCCTTATAAAGAATCTTTGTGAAGGCTCATTGTTGGATTAACCTTCGGGCCTAATATATTGTGCCAACGATCCATCACCTTTTGTCGGATCTTTAGGTTTGAACAGTTATACATATCGAAGCCCTCAAAGATTTTTACGGTTCGTATTAGAGGTGTCGGTTCAAAATAACACTTATTGAGTGTTTTAATGTCATTTACTGAAAAATTCAACAACAACAAATGCGGAGAAAAGTGTCGGTCCTAAGGGCATCTCTTTGGGTTGTGCTAACTTCAGTATGTAGCAAAGGTATCACCGCTTTCCATCCTACATCGCTAAGGGTGTCTTGTTTTAAATAAAGATATATCATGGATTTTCAGGTCAAAGCTGCGATGGAATTCGCAAAATACAATTTAGAAAATGGAATTTTCTTATATGTCCGATACGGATCTATCACTGAAAATTTGCTAAAAGAAAATGAAATAGATATCGGTGATCTTTGGTTGGACTTGAAAGATAAGGTGAGCCTAGTTTCTGGTCTACTGTAACCTGGTCTGCTTTAGTAACATTTGGAACTGCTATAGCACTCAAAGAATTAAGATACACGTAGTACGTATTGATTCACACCGTGTGTTTGACACAGCCTTGCTCTATTTTAATTTGGCTGGAAAACAAAAATTAAATGTTTTTCTTAAAAGCTGTTTCAGATGAACCACTCTCTTGCCTATTAAGTTAGTTTTCGCTTAAGCAAAGTTTTTACTAGCATGCATCTGTCTTTACTGAATAAGCATATGGTTTATGCGTTAAAAGCTTAGGCTCAGCTTTAAGTTCAGAAGCCTCTGATAGAAATATACACAAAATACTAGGTACCTTTTGGTCTCTTAGTCAATTTCAACCACAAATACTGGATGTGTTTCAGTCTCTTACTCAATTCAAACCACAAATACTAGCTGCATACCAGTCTCTTAGTCAAGTCAAACCACTTAGTCGATTCAAACCGAAAATTCTGGCTGCGTGCCAGGCTCTCAGTCCATTGAAACCACAAATACTAGACGCGTTCCAGTCTTTAAGTCAATTTCAACCACAAATACTAGACGCGTTCCAGGCTTTAAGTCAATTTCAACTACAAATTCTGGCTGCGTTCAAGTCTTTTAGTCAGTTTCAACCACAAATACTGGCTGCGTTATAGTCTTTTAGTCAATTTCAACCACAAATTTTAGGTACGTTTTATATTAGTCTATTAGTCGGTTTAAGCCACAAATAAAATAGCTCTCCAGTCTCGTATTCAATTTTAAAATCACCAATGCTAGGTGCATGGCACAAAAAATGCGTTTTGTGATACTTCTGGTAAAATTCTTAGTATATTAATCTAGTTGCTGTACCTATGCTTTGCAATAGGTAGAGGGTACAAGAGGAAATATGTTTCTTTAAATTTGTCAAATAAAATATTTACACATTTGACATTGGGTTTTGAAAAAAAGTTCAACTCCAACACTTCATTTCTTAAAATTGTATTTCCTTTGAATCAGATAAGAAGTGGAGACGTGTTTGGTTACATATTACACAGTAAAAAGAGGTGCTGGAGCACCATGAACTTAATGACCTATTAAATCCAAGTTTTAAAAGATGTTATTTTTTTGTATAATAACCCTGCCTATATTTAAATCCAATAAACAAATTAATTTGGGTAATGCAGTGAAGCTGCGAATAAATTATATGATATGGATGTAAAAATTTTCTATTTTAGCCAGGCATCTTTACATAAAGGCCTGCGTAAAATAAATATCACAGTAAGCAGAAAATAATAGAAAGCCTTTATTCCCTCTAGGTTAGTAAAATAAAACTCTGTTTCGTTAGTCAAGATATAAATGTCATTGATGTTTTTAAATAAGAAATTATTATTTTCACTGTTGTGGTTAGTATTTACATATTACAATGAATAAATATAATCAATTCCATAAATTGAAAATTCAAATTTAATTGGTTGGTATGGAATTGTTTTTCAAGGCGAGGTTATTGGATTGGTCCTTTGAGCTATTCAATTATTACCTAAAATTTAAATTTACATTTGAATTTTTATAAAGTTGCCAATGGATATGTTTTTGGACGCTCAATAATCAAAATTCACACATATATATATTTATTTATTTATAAAAGAGGAACTATGTATGTATTTATGTACGTATGTATGTACCTTATGGACTCCAAAACCTCACGTTCGCTGCTGAGCGCTAGATGCCGGGACGGCGCCAGGCTGAACTAGCGTTCGCCGCTGCGTAACATTACATTACATTATTACATTTGTTGTCATGAGAGCCGAAGCCCCCTGACTGCTTACCCGGTACCTATCCTTCAGGACATACCCGGGCCCCATGATGTAGGCCGAAGCTTACGCATCAACCTTTAGCACATCATGGGCGGATGACTTAAGGTCATCAGGCTCGCCGGCTGCCGAAGCAGACCCTTCGGAAAGAGGGTTGCCCCTCAATCCTAACCAGGGATTCCGGCTGCTTGTTTAAGCGTCACTCCACCTGGGTTCCACTAGGTCGGAACCTAGAGGTCCATAGTAGAGCGCCCCGACGCATTTAGTGCAAGCAACACTCGGGACCTATCTAATCCCTGACAGACAGAACCCGCCATCAATAGCCAGGAGGAAGGGGACCATCAGCACGCTGACGGGGGGAACCCCAACCTCCCATTTACACCGCTGCCCGATCGAGGCCTTACCCATTGCTGGGAAACCAGAGATAACCAGAGCGATAGATCCCCAGATACCCCTGGCGGGCTCGGACCCAGCACCCGATCTACTTCGTTTGCCCGTCAGACCCAACATCACTGCCAGGCCATCAGGGTTTCCCAAAAGGAGGCAGGTATAGAAGTGGGACCCACCCGGATGAACCTATCCACCAGAGGTGGCGACACCCTTGACTCAATTGAGGTTCCGGGAAGAACCCCCCACACTCAAGATAACCATACCGTCCGTGCTCAGAGACAGGGATTGGTTTGCATAAGTACCTACAAACCGTTGCCCTCACACTGCGGAAAGTTACGTTGCCCTTGAGTGTCCCCGTGAGCTGCGGGTACTTGCCCGTTTTCACCTCCAGGAAAGGTTACTTCCAAAGTCGAGGATTTGCCCACTGAATGCTGGTCGCACACAACAAGCAGGCCGAAGCCCAAAGAACCACAGACACAGGTAGGTTAGAGATTATGATGTACTTCCATCTCTCCTAGAGCTAAACACCCCTCCATCCTGGATAAAGGAATGTCACTGGGACCCGATGCCCAGTCGTCCATGTCTGTGGCCAACTTGAAAATGCCGATACCAACACGGAGCATTTACCTCCCCTCTGGGGGCTACGTAACATTGCCGCTAAACACTGAATTGCAGTAAAAACAACAGTAGTTATCCTGGATAGCAATGTTCTGCAATAAAACTGGCTTTGGACATTGGGCCAAGCGATTCTGATAGATAGCAGCACTACCCAGGTTTCAGTGGGTAAAGTCGTGTCGCTATCTAGCAGGAAAGAGGTGAGACAAAGCCCTGTTCTATACGACCCTGCTGTTGATCTTGGGAAACTATATTTTTTATTGTCAAAAAAGTACGTCCCCACGAGCTGCAAAGAAATATAGGACGCTCGGGACGAGCTGGCTGATCCATGGAAACGTTAAACAACAATTAACCGTGACGTTCCGGAACGTTCCTAGCTCCTGGCACCGTTGCCCCGCTGACGTTCCGGAACGTTCCTAGCTCCTGGCGCCGTGGCCCCGCTGACGTTCCGGAACGTCCGTAGCAGCGAACGTGTTAATGGGGAATGTGAGCTATCATCACACAGAATTTCAGTCCAATTCAACCAGTATTTAATGGGTGATTGAACTTCAAACAAACAAACACACAAACTTTCACATTTATAATATTAGTATGATAATCACCTTGAGAAAACCACTACAAAAGTAATTGCAAACATCTGCTCTTGTTTAATTTGGGTACTACTGTATCTGTCTCTTTAACTTACTTAACTTTAATAATAATTGAAACTCATTTTACAGTTCCTAGAAGTCGTCGTTACTTCCAAAGTAAGTAGATACTTACTTACCATTACTGATATTACAAATCTATTGATTTCCTCAACTACTCAACTATGATAACAAAACAAAGTATTTTGCAAGCCAATATTTCAGAGCCTGAAGCTGCAAAAGGACAAGGTTAAACAACCTACAACCTTTTTTCATACCAACATCACCATACCAAGCGATGAATGTTCATCAGAATAAAATGTTTAAAATCCTTTAAATATCTTATCTTCAGTTCCTTTTTAATGTTTTTGATATACCAACGAAGCTAAAACTATTAAATCCAATAACAGATAAATGGTGTAAGAAAGCTACAAAAGGTCTGGATTAAAACGTATTAATACCTTACGTAAATTTAAATATATAAACATCTACTCCAGTAATGTAGTGATGTCATAATTAATTATGTATACAAAATTGCACACATATACATGGTGGTAGAAAAGTCAGTACCTAATTTTAAAATGTTTAACAACAAAACCCCAAATGGCTCTCTCAGATTATATTCTCAGCTGATTGAAGCTAATTTAATAAAAAAATTTTGTGGTTCATACTGTAAACTGATTGAAGTTTTTTTTTTATTTAAGCCTGCTATTATGCCTGTTGTTTAAGCATTGACGAAAAGACGTTAATGCTTCACGATATGAAGTGTAAAAAAACTAAATATAAATAAGTGTAGCAGTCTTTTTAGGACCAGAGGTGGTTAAGAGCGTAGAATGGAATAAGTTTCTCTCTTTAAGAAAGAACAAAAAATGTCATAAGGAAATGTTTGAAAGTGAAAGTGTGAATTGTGAAAATCCTGTTCGAGATTAGTTCAATGTAACTTTCCCCGGGAAATGGATTGGACGAGGTAGTCCACATCACTGGCCTGCGCGTAGCCCAGTCTTTACGCCCTGTCGTTTATTTTGTAGGATAGGTTTACAGAAGGAGTCTTAAGAGTCTCAATGAATTTAAAGTTTCCATTTTAGTGGTTCTTGGTAATGTTTCACAGGATTTTATTTAAAAGTCTGTTAAAAAATATCTGTTAGATTACAAAATGTGTTGACAATGCAGGTGCGTCGATGTTTGACATCTTTAATAATAAATGGTGTGAATAAAAGTTTAAATGTACATTTGTTTGTTATACAGCACCATAAAAAGTCATTACAATTATTAATTTAAAATAGGTAGGGACTTTTCAACCAACATGTAGTAACTTAGCATAGCACTTCGTACACCTTTAACCATTGTTGAATTAACCTGTTACTTTGCATATTTGGGATTCTAGGGTGAATATGAAAAGAGACATAACACCTATAAAGGCAGAACTATTTTTATTGTTTTAAAAGACTCGGATCAAAAGGTGCCAATACTCACATGTGAAGAGTCTGGTATAACACAAGCAAAGGTAAGTTAAAAGTAATAAATACTTTATGTTTTAACAGGACCAAACTGTTGGACTGCTTTTTTGATGCGAGCAGTGTTGATGATCAGCCTACCTTGATTACAAACCGAGTAATATAAAAAAATATGATCACTTTAATCATCATTTATATAATTTAGCCTATAATAAAATAATAACCTTTGTAAACTTATATCGGTAAAAGATAAAATAGGAAATTCTGTAAATTGACTTGATTTGAATTGATGACATACACACAAAAAATCCACACATATATTTCAAATATTTAAGTTGCTATTCACCTATGCGTTGGATTATTATTTAGACTTACTATTACAGTGTAAACTTTCAATTCCTTGTTGTTATGTGACTTGCTATTAATGAACCTGTGTTTTTCGTATTTTATATTTTTCATTCATCCATTTTTATTTTTGTAAGTACTTTTCCATTTCGGATTAACAGAGTGTCTAGATGTTTTCATTTCGCAATGTTATTTTAACACGTTCACTGCGTTGTATATTTTCTTGCATTAATCCAATGGTGCGTTACAAGATCTATAGTCTCGTCCTCTATGATTACCCAGGTGCGATACGAGACCCCGAGATTACGTTGCGCAGTAATCTTATGCGCATCATAACCTAGCAAAGAAAGGAGAGAGAGAGAGAGAGAGAGCGCTGATTGTTTGTTTATGTGAACCCGTGTATCCATAGCTTTAAGAAGTTCATTCATACTAAGACCTTTAAAATAATCTACATATCATGAGCTTCATTTTGTCATAATTATTTGATTTTGATGTGCCGTATCTCTATATTTTTATTTAGATAATGGTCTGAAGTGATGGCTACACATTTAAATGTGTCGCTTATAGATATATGATATGATAGATTTATGATAGATTGTTTATCCGTGATCAAATGTTGTGCTACAAAGTTTCAGACCTTGGATTTACTATAGTACTGAGAGTTTAAAATGTTATTTATGTTTGCCAGGATACGTTGAAGTGCAATAATTATAAAAGTAAATACATTCGCGTCGTCTGGCTCGAGGTTGATGTGAAGATCCTGGGCAAGGATTATGTAGACAGCCTCTGTCCTAACCGAAGAATGCCAGATTGCTACCCTAGGATGTACCGCGAAGTATCTGGAAGGGTAAGTGTAAAACTTAAGATTTATTGTCGAAATTGTAAGGTACCGGTACCAAGTTTTTAGGGGGGTAAAAACGTGTCAGGATTAAATAAACATCAGAACTTACCGTTCTTCATCCACAATACCCAAATCTTGGGCCTATGTGTTGGTCGTAGCTTGTGCTTTAGGCCAAAGAACGTAGGCCTAGTTCTAATCACAGTGAAGTACATGCAGACACTCACACGCCATATTTATCAGTAATAGCACGCTAATTTGTCAAATAAAGTTAAACCAACCGATTTCACCAATCTTTAACACCGACGATACAACATTACCCCAAACTGTCGTTTCCAATCAATTATTTTTTCATACATAAATTCAAATTGACACATTCTTATTCCTAAACATAAAACATTTTAAATAAACTCTTTCTTTCGAAATTGGCATCTATTTAAGTGATCTTACACTATTAAAACACCGACGCTTGACTTCAACACTTCCACTGGCGGTCGCTGACCTCTCCACTGATAAAACCCAACTACAACTTTCACTTTTCAGCCGTTTTAGTTTTTCATGTTGTGTTTTTTATGTTGCGTGTCTTTTTTATGTTTCCTTTAGTTTTTTCCTCCCAGTGTGTTATATACCCTGTGTTAATGTCCCCTCGGGTGTGTCGTGTAAATGTTTTGCGTTCTGTGTTATTTTTGTGTTTAGAAGTGCAAATTACTTAAAATGTTACTGTGTGTTAGTGAAAACCCCCCCTCATACAACTATACCCACACTCCCATTTTAGATTCACACAGATTCACTCTACCTTTCGCTTCCACAAATACTCACAAATTCACCTATACATACGCATTTATACACCCTATTTACTAAAACTAGATTCTAATTTCAACTCCCACTTTACTTTTAAAAAATTTTCATTTTCCATCATAGCTTGATTAAATCACTTAAATAATCAATATTACAATTAAACATTTCTAACTCATATTTTACAAACGTTTTATAATTACCGTTTCGCTTCAGTCGTTCCGTAGTCTTCCATACAATTCAAATTTTCATAATTCCTCTACCGTCAATACATACTTTACTCTTGATCCTCTTTACTATTTAACTCTTCTTTAAATAATAATAATAATAATAATAAAACGTCTTTTATTTAAAGCGGTTTTCAGTAACAATACTGTTTTTCAAAACTACTCAAGTCAATACAAACAAAAGAAATATTACAATACCAATAAATGACTTATTAACTAACAATACCTTAAATTATATTTACAAAAGACATTTTTTGGAGTTCAGTCGAAAAGCTTTATAACTAAGTTTTTTTACATTTTCTGGCAGTTGATTGTACTTCTGAGGAGCAAAAAAATAGCCTATATCAATCCTAATTCAAATCTTTTCTGAACCAAATCAATCAATTCTGAATCAAATCTAATTCAATTCTTTTAATAGCCCAAATCAATTAGCCTATATGATTTTTTTCATGTCTTTCCACTTGCTCGGATTTTGTACTAGTACAGTTGAATCACTCAGAAAGTAGCGAATTACCTAAGATCCCATGTACCTTGGCACCAACTTCTTGCTGAATTTATTTGCTGTATTACTTAAATTTGGGTCTTGATGTATACTTCATATTCAACTGTAATGGATGATTCCTCCTAGGATAGCTATATCTTTCCCTTATTTGATTATTGGCAATACTCATCCTGAGTATTAAGCTCTTTCCAAATTTCCCCTCCTTTGGTCAGAAGTTAACTTCTCCGAAACAATTTCATTTACATTCCATAAGTTCGTCGATGCGTTGTTGCAAGGATGAGCAAACATTAAATTAAATGCAGTCGATTTTATTGTACCATTTACAGCAGTATTCAAACTTGTGGCAATCAGTCCAAGGTTCGGATCCCATTTATCGTGTTCCTTACAATAAAAACTCCGTAAAGCGTTCTTCGTCTCCCTAAAATATCGTTAAGATAATTTCCTGGTATGCTGATAGTTTCCTGTGCTCCACATAGTTATTGAACATAAATTTCTTGAATTCTTTAGAGGTAAAATAACTGGCATTATTGCATACAAGTATTCGTGGTATAAAGGAGGTATAAAAAATTATCGTAAATTTTTCAATTATGCATTTTTTCTTGCAACCCTTCAAAGGTTACAACCACACAAAACGGGTAAAATCATCGACCACAATTAAAATAAACTGATTGAGGTTGTTTGATCTGGAAAAGGGTCCAGCTAGGTCAATAAACACAGTGTTTAGAGCTTGAGTTACAGGGACAGATATTAATATACCTTCGAACTTTCGTTGTGCGGACTTAGACATCAGACGGATCTTACATTCACGGACTTTACTTTTAATAAATTAATTTAATTCAGGACGATGAAAACATTCGTTTACTTTGATTTGCGTCCTAAAAATCCCCAAATGTCCTCCTATTATTGAGTTGTGATAGAATGCAAATATTACACCAAACAGTTTGGGAAAATAAATATTGTTTTTAAACAATACAACTGTATTTTTTAGGGTATAGTTTTCATTGTCAGTCTTGTTCTTGATAGTTTCAATAATTTTTTACACTCTTCGTCGCTCTCTTGATGAATTTTGATGTTATACCCCCACCAAGATTGCCAATTAGGTGGTATACTTTAATTTCAGATTAATCTAATTTGAGCTGGTAGTAGAAGTGAGATAATTAATAAAACAACTTAGGCCAAAATATATATATATATATATATATATTCTATCAAAATATATATTCTTCAAACTTCGGAAATTGGTACAAAACTCTTTTTTATAAGCAACATACTATCCCTCTTCATTACTCCTATAGTTTATATCAAACAATAAAATGGACAGATCTTACTTTAAATTTATGAGGTCTTGTTCTACTGGTCAGATCAGTGGCTGTACCAAGAAGTGGTACAAAGAAGTGGTACAAAGAATAAGGTATTGGTCAAAAAAGAAGTGGTCGATATCTGTAATGCCTACAGCAAACCACTTTCATTAGATCACCATTTCCAGTAAACTTAACTGACAAAAACTTGAATTTCTTATCTAGTACCACTACCAACCTACAAAACTAAATCTTTTAAATGCTGAACACTATTTCTTAAGCTTGTCATGCCCAATGATTAAATGATTTAATTTTGGTTTAGTAATTTTAATTAAACCTGAATATTTATTTACCTCGGTACAGAATTTCCCCTCCTTGACTTGAAATTACTTAACCAAAATTACAAACTACTTCGACACAACTATTTATAAACAACATTAAAAACAACTGTTTCAACTCTACTCTACAAATAATACAAACCTTTCAAAAATCAAATCAATCATAAAAATCTATTCCTGTTTGAAAATTCAACATTGACTCTACCTAGCTATACCTACTCTCCGCTACCTATCAACAAATTCCCTAACTCTAACTCCTAGTTCAAGAAACGTCCGCTTGCTACAGTACTTAACGGAACCTCACATCAAAACAACAACTTCCATTCAACAACTTTACGATTTAAATCAACTCACTTTCTTATAAAAATTCCAATATTAACATTCTTATTTATAAACATACTACTGTACATCAAAATAAAAACCTTTCTTTTACAATTTCCAATTATTTAAGTGATCGTATTCTATTTACAACTCATTTGATTCCCCCATTTCCGCTAATGGTCACTGACCTCTCCCAACAGCTCCACTACAAACAAACTTTCACTTTTCAACAGTTTTAGCGAATTTCCCTATAGGGAAGTAGCTATAAAGACTTACATCTTATCAAATCTATTTCTAATAAATTAAAAGAAGATAATTCAATGATCACAAAAGTAGACACTTTTTTGAAAGATAACAAATTTCAAGTCCTAACCAAAGATCAAAGATCCAACCAATGAATATTCAAAAACAATTAATAGTAAAATAATGAAATGTAAAAGTCTAGCCAAACTAGAACAAAACATGCTAAAATCAAATAACTCAAAAGCCCCAATACTAAGAGGACAACCAAAAACACACAAAATTAATATACCTATACGACCTGTAGTAAATTTTCAAAATGCTCCTTCATAAACTATCAACATTTTTGGACAACAAAATAAAAAAATAGTATCAATATGGATAATGGGTAGGCTACAATATTAAAAATACTTGCGATTTCATTGGAAAAATAAAAGATATAGACATTCCAGAGAACTCTTTACTGATCTCAATTGATGTTTGTAACATTTACACAAATATCCCATCAAAAGAAACATTAACCATTCTGAGAAAAGAACTAATTGAAAAAAATATATTAAACAAAAAAGAAATTGAAGATATTATCCAGCTTACACAATTGACACTGAAACAAAACTATTTCAGCTACAATTCCTCTTTCTATTTACAAGAAGGTGTAGTGTTATTTAAAAAATTCCCACTTAGGGCCAACCAAGTGGGCAACGGTCCGTAATATCATACATAGGTAATATGCTACTGCAAACCATCTGTCAAGATATAGGTACTACTGTAATTCAAAGTTTCTGTGTTTGGGTGTTATTAGACACGATAAGAGCACAACGAACTTCTTCTGCAGATGAACAATCTATTGGTTACGAGAAATATAAGCCGAATTAATAAATGCCACAATTCAAACGCATTAAATTGACTCTGGTCTGAACTTTTTATAGTATGGAGTTTGGGCCTTTTTTATGTCACCATCTGGGTAAGTTACTTTGAGAGATCAATGGTTTTTGTTGCTAAGTAGCGCCAGTAAACATGTACAACACTTCTTTAGTTGAATAACATTCATTGGCTATATTGTTTATTCTTTCACTAAGCTGAATGAATACTTTAAAGTAAACTCTCTAAAAATCTATAATAAATTTAAATTTAGGATTAATGACTTTCAATAACTTATCATGCATTTATTCATAAAATTATTAAAAACGAGGTGTTAGCCCGTCCTACGTACTAGTCGGGGGGCAAACTGTATTCCGTGGGATTTTTTGTGAAGGGAATGTGTGACTATGTGGAATCTCTTTATTAT